ACATTTAACAAAACAAATATTTTTTGCTATAAATATGAAAAATTCTATATTTTTATAATTTTATTTATACAATAATACGGGTCAAATCGGAACAAACCGCGACCCGTGACCCGCATGTGCTCGATCCGAATGGGTCAGCGGGTGGGCCGAGATGTAGTCCAAAATTTGTAGGCCAACCCGGAATCGGCCCGAAACCCATAGCGGGCGGGCTCATATGTTGGCGGGCCGACCCGACCTGGACCACCCGGATTGACACCTCTACTTTCCCATAAGCAAGTACTTGAAGCCTTGCCTTCGAGCAAGTACTCAAAGCCTTGCTTCGTGCAAGCACCTCAAAGTCTTGTCCTACGAACAAGCACTCAAAGCCTTGCCTACGAACAAGCACCTCAAAGCCTTGTCCTGTGCAAGTATCCTTACAAATACTTCATACTTTCAAGCAAAAAATTAATCCTAAAAGTCATCAAGTAAAAAGATCGATCTTATAAGCCCGAAGCTTTATTTCCTAGATCTATGTGCTCGAGTGCCTATCAACACTTACTTCACTCTACCCGAAGCAGTCAACACTCAACTCGAGCAATCTGCATCTCATCTTTGAGCCACAAACGTTCTAAGCAACATCCTCGAGTCCCGAACATTGATGCACGATGACCAATGATATGGTCATTTTTTATGAACCCCAAACAACAATGCTCGAGGTTATTTTTGATCATCTTGGGAGTTTGCTCGAGGTGTCCTCCTCGAGTTCCTTTGTCGGGCTTAAATGCCGCACGTGACGATTCCACGTCATTTAGGATTTTTACCTTTGTCCCCTTCTCTATTTCAAAAGACATACCCCTAATAGGACTCTACTTCCATCTTCGTACTTATCCAATTCCAATAAGATTGAATCCCAACTAGCTTACAACTCCTCATATTGGAATATTCAAGTCTTTTACATCTCTTAAATAGATAAAGCTTCAAGTATCCTAATCCTATAAAGAGTGTGTTACTTACCTCTATAAATACAGGTCCTAATTCATTATTCAACCTATGTTGTTACATTCAATTTATAATCTTACGCTTATATTTCCTATTTTCGCTAATTTAAGCATAGGAGGTGATATTTCATTTAAGTCCATGGGCAGTGGTGTGGCTGTGCGCAGGTTTTACTACAGCGGCACAATCATGCCTGATTTTTGGGGTGATATTTCATTTTCAATCTATAGATTTTAGTGGCCTCGCGGTGGTGCTTGCAACAGCGGTAAGTCCATGGGTAGTGGTGCAACTGTGCGGAAGTTTTGCTGCAACAACACAATCGTGCCTATTTTTTGGGCGTGATGTTTCATTATATATTATATATATTTAATTGGAATTAACAACTGAATTTTGAAATAATTTAACAAGTTTGTTNTTGGTTTGGTGGGGGTGGAGTAGGGATAATTAATTATATATTATATATATTTAATTGGAATTAATACCTGAATTTTGAAATAATTTAACAGATTTGTTAATTTTGAAATGTGATTTTAATAGGCAAGGTTTATGTATTATTCCCTTATTACTACTCATAATAAAAATGCTGGGTCGGATTTCTGGATGCCCTCCCACAGCTTGGGGGCGGGCTGGGCGCCGCATTCAGGCCTAAATTGGCCTTCAAAAACTTTTAGATGGGAAGCCGCACAGTTTCTTCCTTCTAATTGGCCCAAATCAAAGCCTAATTTCTGTTCCCTCCTTTTTGTCCCACGTGGCCCTCCCACTATTTTCAAATTAAAATTGCATAGTCGATCTCTAAACTTTATATCCTCTTTCATCTAAGCCTCAGCTTTGCAATTTCTCAATTTTGTTCTTCCAACTTTTTAACATGTTCAGAATTTAACTATTTCTCTAATGGTATGTTACTTCATCCGAGGTTATCTTCGTATATAACTCTATGATTTAAGTTACTAAGCTCCGAACATAAGTTCCTCATTTCGCACCTTTTGGCATTTTATGCCCTAGTTCGCTTCCTTCTCACTTCAATTTGGGGTTTCACGTGCAAAAGCAATATATACTCTCTTTTAAGTAGTAAGTCACACAATTCATCAATATTATGTAAGTTTAAATGCCCAAATAAACGTGTAAAACATCTTTCTATATATAAAAAGTGCCTATTTAACGGAATTTGTTGGTTTAACGGAAAAACTAACGGAATTTGTTGTTTTAACGGATTATGTAACGGAATTTCTTGTTGT